CCTCCCTCTGGCTTCAGTCCTGGAAACAGGCAGGGACCCAGAATGGCAGTCTTATCCTGGCTGCATCTTCAGGGTATTTCATCATTCCTAAACTGGCCTTCCCCAAACCCAAGAGCTGTTAACTGAACTGTGCCAAAGTTTGTCTTAATTTTACACTTACTTTCTTATTATGTATGACATCTGTCATTGATGTAGGTGCCGTGTTGGGGTACTCATAAAACTTTTCACTGTAGTTTTCATGTAAAAGTACATGTGACAATAAATTTCTATTCTATTCTGTTCTGTTCTGTTCCATTCTATGGTTTGTTCGTTGGATAGAGTCAAACTCCAATGTTGGTTTGTTTCTTCATATGCTGTTGTACAGAACTGAACTGCTTTAGTGACTATGATTGCATACAAAGGTAGTTTTTATGAATAAAGTATGCTTTTGAAATTTAAAAATAAACCATTACTAAACCGGATGAGTTTTTCAGAGCTTGCGTGGTCACTCTTGGGCTCGCTTTCCTCTATGGATTTTCATTGAATTTAAATTTCATCAGCTGCAACGGTGTGATTTGAACTTATGCCCCAGGAAAAAACAGAGTTAACATTCCTCAGAGGAAGGGTCACCGGACCCAAAACGTTAACTCTGTTTTTTCCTTCACAGATGCTGCCAGGCCTGCTGAGCTTTTCCAGCAACTTTGTTTTTGTTCCTGATTTACAGTTTTTATGCCCCCAGGACATTGGCTCTGGATTACTAGTCCAGTCGTATTATCAATATACCACTGCCTCCCCACGTCATTGCATCAGTATTGACCAAAATGAATGGGAAAAGTCAAGTGAACACACTGAACGATCTTTCAGGTAGGATAGAGCATGCAAGAAAATTTTCTGGAACCATTTAAGGAACTGGTAGATGTTCTGATGGTTGGGAATCTTTCTGCAAGAATGATGGGCTGAATGGTCTTCCTTATTGTATCATAGAATGATATAGCACAAAAGGAAGTGATCTGACCCATCATGCCAATGTCATCTCTTTGAAGGACTTATCCAACTAGCTCTGACTCTCTAACTGTTTTCACATGGCTGTCCATTTTTCTCTCCAATTATTCATCCAATTCACTTTACATCATCACTGTTGAATTTGCCTTCATCCCAAACAGTACATTCAGAGTACAATAACTTGCTGTGTAAAACAAAAATTCTCATATCGCTTCTGGCTCTTCTGTCAGTTGCCTTATACCTACTTCCGGGAAACTTGACTCTTCTGCTGCTGTAAACAGTTCAGAGTCATAGAGTCATACAGCACGGAAACAGATCCTTCAGTCCAACTCATCCATGCTGACCAGGTTTCCCAGACTGAGCTAGTCCTATTTGCCTGCATTTGGCCCATATTTCTTTACGCCTTTCATAACCATTTACCGGTTCAAATGTCCTTTAAATATTGTAATTGTACCACCTTTACCACTTCCTCTGGCAGTTCATTCCATACAAGCACCACCCTCTGTGTGAAAAAGTTGCCCCTCGGGTTCCTTTTAAATCTTTCCCCTCTCGCCTTGAACCTAGACCCTCTAGATTTAGACTCCCCTACCCTGGGAAAAAAGACCTTGGCTATTCACCTTATGTATGCCCTCATGATTTTATAAACCCCTATAAGGTCACCCCTCAGCCTCCTATGTTCCAGGGTAGCACCAGTCTATACAGCCTCTCCTTATAACTCAAACACTCCAGTCTTGGTAACATTCTCGTAAAACTTTTTTGCACGCTCTCCAGTTTAATAAAATCATTCCTCTAGCAGGGCCTCCAGAAGTGCATGTAGTACTCCAAATGTGACCTTCCAAATGTCTTGTACATCCATAGCATGACTTCTCAACTCCTGCCCTCAGGGTTCTGACTGATGAAGGTAAACATGCCAAATGCTCTCTTCACCACTTTGTCTACCTGAAATGCCACTTTCAAGGAACTATCTACCTGCACCCCTAGGTCCCTCAGTTCGACAATACTTCTCAGGGCCTAACCATTAACTGTGTAGGTGCTGCCCTGGCTTGTCTTAACAAAATGCAACACCTCGCATTTATCTAAATTAAATTCCACCTGCCATTCCTTGGCCCACTGGCCCAGTTGATCAAGATCCCGTTGTACTCTTAGATAAACTCTTCATAGTCCACTATGCCACCAATTTCGGTGTCATCCACAAACTTACTAACCATGTCTCCTATATTCTCTTCCAAACTGTTTATGTAAATGACAAACAACAGTGGACCCGGTACTGATCCTTGTGGCACACTGCTGGTCACCAACCTGAACAATACCCTCTACCACTACCCTCTCTCTCCTATCATCAAGACAATTTTGTATCCAATTGGGTAGCAGTCCCTGGATCCCATGCAATCTAATCTTATTAACCAGTCTACCATGTGGAACCTTGTCAAAGGCCTTAGTAAAGTCCATGTGGATAATGTCTACCACTCTGCCTTCATCTTGATAGTACAGAACTTGAACATTGCTGCAAAGAGAGGCATGTTGCTGAAGCCTTTCTTTTTGTACTCATCACGAAAAAAAGAAATACGTTTTCTTTTGCTCTGCCAAACCCATTTCATGATTTTGAATGCCTCAACCAAATTTCCTCCTAAGCCTCCTCTGCTTTAAGGGGAACAATCTCAGATTCTCTATTCTCAACATGTAAATCCACTGACACAACTTTGGTTAATTTCCCTCTGCTCCTAAAATGTGGAAAACATTGTTGCTTATGGGTCTCATATGGGTTTTTGGACAGACCAGCTTAGGATTTTGAATGAGGGGGGCCCAATGTATCGTCCTCCGCAAAGTCCGTGTAATGATGGATTCTGTCAATGTAAACTAGTTGGTAACACGCAATAAACTATATCTGGTTAATTACAAGATACTCTTCTAGTTAGATCATGATTGATTGATTGATTGATTTATAGTTATCAGATGTACAGAGATACAGTGAAAAGTGCTGTTTTGGGCAGATTGCCATACAAAGTGTATCAGAGTAGCAGAACAAAGTGCAGAATATTGTGTTACAGCCACAGAGAAGGTGCAGAGAGGGAGAGAGCAGGATTAACATTTGAGAGGCCCATTCAAAAGTGTGATAATAGCGGAGAAGTAACTGTTCTTGAATCTGTTCATATATGCTTTCAGACTTTTGTATTTTCTGCCTGGAAAAAAGGATGGAAGAGAGTATAACAGGGTTGGAAGGTCTTTGATTATGTTAAGTAGTTTTCATCTACAATTGACAAAACTGACCCTGTAGTTTCTTTCACTTAAAGACGATGGTGGCAGCAACCTTTATCATGAGCAGTATATGATTCAGAGTGGTTAACTGCTACACCCTAACAACATCCAGCATTGAATACCGTACTTCAGCTGAGGCCCAACTAGTTGTTTAAGTAGATATCCAAAGTCTATTATGTGCCACCTATAATACATATTTAAATGGCCTTCTGACTGACTACAACAGCAACCTCCTGATGATGTGAAATTATGAAAAGCCCACACTAAGGAATACAATGACTCCTAAATAGGTGGAAAGTTAAAGTTTGGGAATGATGATCAGTGAAATCGTTGGATGAAATCTTCTATTAGTGAGTGAGCTTGTTGGCAATGGGACTGAAAGTGAATGATACTTCCACCATGGAGGGGGGGGCCATGGTGAGGTGATGGGCCACATGGTGACCAGCCAATTGGGTACACAAAGGCGTGGAGTGTGGCAAATCATGTAGCAAAGACGGGCAGGAAGTTGTCACCCCATTACCTCATGGGGGCTTCAAAAGTTTCCATATTTAAAAGATGCCTGGCATTGATTCTTCGCAAACCAGGAAGATCATCCTGGGACTCATAATGCAGCTAAAACCTCTGCCATATTTGTTTCCCCTCGACTCCTCCACTTCACCTTCTCACAAACTCTTCAGCAGGTCTCAGAGATGACAAAAGAATGGATTCATGGATCAGCAACGGATTGCTGCAGGTTGTTCTGCAGACTGCCCATGACAGGCAAGAAGTCTGGTTCCCTAGGAATGACAGCTGGACCATCTGCTTTCTGACCAAAGTGCAGGTAACATCAGTGACGTCCGCCCAATAAACGGACTCGGTACACGAACAGAAGGAAGAATGTGCTGTTCAGACAACATTGCAGCATCTGTACCCGCATAGCCAGTACACTACCTTAATCAGGATACACAACTCCAAGACGTTGAGAACTTGGAAGGAAAACTGTTGTAGACTGTTGGCATAAGCAAGTTCTTATGCAGGTTACTTTGGCATTGGTACAATCATGTCTCAATGCAGGCAATGCCTTAGGATGAGTCATCATGTAAATACCAAAATGACATGGAATGATTTGCGGTCTTGTGCCCCCTTCCCGCTAACTTCCTTACCCCACCATGCTTCCTGTTTCCAATGGCAGCGCAAGATTACACTGGCTGTACCAACACTTCATAAATCATCTCTACTTCCAATGAAAAAGCTTTTTAGTTTTGATGAGTTATTGTCTCCATTAAAACAGCAGACAGGAGAATTTGATACAGGGCCAAGTCCACGACAAAATCAGCAAAAACTATCTCCTGGCTTGTTCATATTGTTCAGTACCAGTCAACATTTTCAGAACAATGTTCTTTCAAACTGCATTATGATAAACAGAAATGAAATGACAGGGCAGAGGATTATACTGGGAACAAGGCAAATTGCTCACACATGGCCATCTTTGAGACAGTGGTTTGATAGAGAAAGTAAAAAAACCAAGAGATGTTAATGAGGATTGGTTGCAGTTTCACTTACACTGTCGCTCAAAGTAAACATTTACTCCCAGTTAAAGTGCAGCAATTGTTGTCATGTAGCCAACTACAACAGAGTGAGGCTCGAAACTTAAGGGTCAAGCTTGATGATGAGTTTTCACTTGTGCTGTTTGTGAGAAATGTTGGCCACTAAGAAATGAATCACTTCAGTCTTTTGACACATTACAATATCAAGGTACAGGTATGTAAAAAGCTGATCCTTGATACGGGCGTGATAAGCTGCTTTAATAATGCTTCATGATTGATACAAATTTACAGCAGTAGAAATAGTACAATCATATTATAAAGAAAACATTTTGATTTGAAATTTTTTTCTCCTAAATGCGAGGAAAGTTATGCTATTTTGGGGCTGCGGCTTGCCAATGTAGATTAGTGAGGCTTTTGTCATTCCCAGTGCCTCATCATTCTTTGAATAGAATATTTTACTGTATTTTAAAATTTCCATACAGATCAAGGCAGAAGTTTTAATTTTAATTACCCTTTGAGAAATTAGGTGGGATTGGATGTAACATTGAACATAATAAATAAGAACAAGTAGGCTATACAGCCACTGGAGATAATACCAGCACTCAGCAAGTTTGTGACCAAACTTTGATCTCAATTTGACTTTCCTGTTGATTCCCACATTTTGTACGGTTGCTTGGGAAATGGACAGCATATGACCTCATATGAGAATTCATCGAGTCCACAGCGTGAGTACTGAGTAAGTGCCAGCCCATTCACAGGCCCCGGCTCTCAGTTATTGGACTCCAGTCTATCCCATACTTGCATCTCTTTCCTATACAGTGCATTGGGAACTTAGGCGATGGGAGCAAAAGGAATTTCAATAGGTGACATGGGCTTGGTCCCATTTGTAAAGGTGTCAAGCCAACGTCCATTCTCCTTTAATGAATATGCACCACTCATTGCAATAAATTATCTTTAGCTGACTTTGATAACAAGTGATGCTCTATCATTTCTTGACCTAAAGTGATAATGAGTTTTAATCAGAGCACTTTTCAATGAGTAAGATAGTTTACTTTGTGCATAGGTCACATCATCCTTGGCAGAGAATGATGCAAAAAGTCAAACCATGATATTGTTTGTTTACCCGGCATAAAACAGGTCAGGGGAAAAATTTCAAATGGAGTGGACTACCCGTGGATTTTCACCTATTCTACTCCCTTGTCGATCAGATTGACTGGAAATTTAAATTTCAGGCTGCAAGGGACAGTCCTCCTTTAGATCATCTGAGTCTGATCTGCTATTTTCGCCTGAAACCTGAACAATGGTGACTTTCCTACCAGGCTCAGAACAGTGCCCAGGGTTGTGTTTCCTTATGGGCATAGCAGGAGCTGATTAACTCCGATAGAACCCACATGGAAACATTTGCCTTCTTTACTTTTCCCTTTACACGGTTTCCTCCCTCAGAGTCCTAGGGTACTGCTGAACATACGTTTTTGTGCTTTTATTACAATGATATGTCAAGAAATGCCCTTTCTCACTCCTTTGGTAGAAATGAAAATGCCTTCGCTTTGATCTGTTTTCAAATGCATGAAGCAAGTTTGTGTATTAGGCTAGACTTCACAAATCTTTGCCCATCAATGTATAAGAAACTCATAAACAAGGCAATTTGTCAAAATGTCATGATGGGAGGTAAGAACCAGATGCAAGTTCCTCACCAGGCCCCACGTCATCTTGAATCTAAACTATAATTGCTGTTCCTTCAGTGTCGCAGGGTCAGCGATCTGAAACTCCCTTTCTAATATCACTGTGATTGTCCCTACACCATGTGGACTAGCATAGTTCAATAAAGCAACTAAGTGAAATTTTCTCATGGGCAATTAGAGATGGGCAACATATACTGGTATAGCCAACCAGCAATATCCATGTACCATAAACGAATGAAAAGAAAACTAGATGCTTTTGCCTAGTCTCTAGATTCACAAAGAATGGGAGCCTGGTCCAATCTACATGTGGCTCCAGTCCAACTCTATGCTGACTCTTGAGGGCAATGAGAGTTGGGCAATAAATATTTTTCAGGGTTAACTACAGGGGAAAATCACATTTTGGCAATTACACACATCATTTCCATTTTCATGATGGTAGGGTATAATGTTTATTTCCTACTATGGAGTTTTAACTCCCTTTTGGGACAAAGTAGACACTCCAGGTGGCATCAGCTTACACTGGTTGGGTCCAGAGGAGCAATGCTTCTACTGCTAGCTATGCTGCAAGCACAACACTTGGTTTGGAGATAGTAAGAACTGCCGATGCTGGAGTCAGAGATAACAGTGTGGAGCTGGAGGAAGACAGCAGGCCAGGCAGCATCAGAGGAGCAGGAAAGTTGATGTTTCGGGTCAGAGCCCTTCTTCAGAAACTTGGTTTGATGTTCAAATTACATCAATGACTTAATGACATCGTAACACGGCCTCTAATTGTCATTTAAAATGCATTAATAATATGGGGGTAAATTGGATGCAGGGCAACAAATGCTAAATGATCTTCATTGGATCCCAGTTTGACCTGGTTTCTATGAAGGATATGGGACTTAAATTACAAAAGCCCCGCCTCTTGTGACATACAAATCAACCTAGGTGAAGCGGATAACATTTCATAGCTAACTGTCATTAGATCCTGAAAATTTTTGGGCCCATTGTACTAAAAAATTTTAGGCAAGACCGCATCTAGACATAGAGAAAGGGATCTTGATATTAACATGGGTAAGTGAGGAGATTCCAATGGGAATCCCAGACATGGGTCTTTTGGCATTGACAGGTTTACCCACTCAGAATTCAGTGTGGTTGACAGGTTTGACTTGCAGGTGGGCAGGGAGGATGCAGGAGCTGACAAGTCTGATCCACAAGCTAGGGGATGCACTCTAGTTCCCCTTGGGCCCACAAGCAGTGCTGTAAAGGCCATTACTTTCTCCCTGGAGATGTTGTCACCACCCTCAAGCTATGCAGTGGCTGATGACTGGAAAATGCAGTCAACCAGAGTTGGACATGTTGGGGGCTGCTAGTGTCTTTCAAATAGTTTAAGTACCAAGCTGCTGCCTGCACCTTGCCCCCTCACATCAAATAAAACTGCAAGCAGGGGTCAGACTTCAAATTCTTTAAATTTCAACATCTATCCTGACTGTATAATTTCTTAGGGATAAAATTTAGCATTGAAAACTGAAAATATTAAGCAACATTGAAAGTCGATAATAAATTAGAAAAACATTGCTTGTTATATATTAAGGTATATGTTCAACATTTGTGTCCTGGAATGATGTGCACCCAGGTTTCAAACTATCCAAAATGCACAGCTAAAAAAAAGTTTTACAGATTGATGCCGAGGGGATTTGAGTCCTGGTTCGAATAGGTGGATGAAGGTGGTATTCATTTGAGAGGTTCATGAATTCCCAGAGCGCATTCAGTAAAAGAAATCTTGGGAAGTGGAAAAACATTGCAAGTTCAAGCTTCTTATTGCTAGTTTAAGTTGTAATTTGTTCAACAATACCGACAATTATTTCACACAGCAGAATTCCATTTGATTACAAAAATATAATTAAATCAAATAATTTAAAGACTAGAAAGATTAAAACATTTTATGCAGGCCATAGCAAAAGACCATCCAAGTTGGTGCCTGCTTTTATCTAAAGTCGCTCAGGGTTTGTGCAAAATGCGTTTTCAGCTACTAGGGTTCAGTTTCCGCTCTTGTCCTTCAGGGGCAGGTGAATTTGAGAGACACTCTGTTAGCAAGATTGGAAGGAGATGGTCTACTTCACTTCTGGCTGCATCAGCACAGTCTCATAGATCTCAAAGTGGATTCCTTTTGATTTGGTTATCTTCATGACTGCGCCATTCAGCTCCTCCTCCTGAAGAATTTTCATTAACCCCTGAACAATTAATGATGGCCTGCAAAAAATCACATTTCTGTTATATTTTGTAAAACTCATTTATGACAAAAATGCTTTCACTTGCAACTGCAGAAGTATTTCTAGAATGAGGGATGATCTGATTGAAGGGTTTATAATGCTCAAAGAATTTGAGTGGGTAGGTGCAGAGAAACATCTCTTGTTAAGTACATTCAAGGTTGAGATAGATCGTTAAACATTGAGGGAAACCATGGTGAAGAGGAAAAGGCAGGAAAATGGAGTTGAGGATTATCAGATTAGCCATGATTTCACTGATTGGTGGAGCAGACGCAATGGATTGAATGGCCTACTCTGCTTCTATGTCTTATGGTCTAAACATGTTTTTAAAATTAGAGCTGAGTCATTTATGTGAATTCAGGCTGTACTTTTTCAACACAATAGGCTGGTAGAAATAATTAAATCTCTCTGTCCAAAGGTTATAGATACTGGGCATCAATTGGAGCTCTGAGCCTGCTGGGTAATTGACAGATAAGGGCATCAATTGACCAAAGACATGTAAACGCAGTGGGGGTAGAGATCAGCTGTGACCCTAAATGGAAGCAGCAGCAGGTCCAGTGGGCTCAAACCAACCAATGATATTCCAGGAAAGGGTAGCTTTCAATTCTGCTGCAATAACTTTCACAGCATATTACTGAAACCAGTCCCTGTCACCTGTCTCAATCAGAAACAACTGAAACAAACATTTCATCTGGGGCTTGGGATGGCAAAAGGCTGGAGCAAAGTCCAGCATGATATCGGAGGCAGACATTTTAGCATTTGAAATCAAAATGTACTTACAAACTAATTCTAATTCAAGATGGCGGCTGAGCAACAGTGCAGGGTGCAGGCTCCTGCCCGAAGCTCATCAGCTCCATCTGCTTGTACATTGTTTTCGTCTTTTGCTGCTTTTTCTTCTTACTTTAATCTGCTTATTTTCTGCAGAGAGTGGGTTTGTGCAGCAAAGAGGAGATTGAGCCAGCATGGCGGTGAAAGAGATCGCCCGGCACGTGTGGCAGTGGCGTGAGCAGGCAACCTGAGGTCTCCCAGCATCTGCGGTGTAGTTGAGTGACGGGTAGCTTGAGCCAGCGTGGGGAGAGGGAGCCAATTGCAGTAGAGGAGCCCAGCATGGAAGAGATCAAGCCCTCGTAGGGATTGCAAGGCCAGCACGGCTAAGCACTTAAATAGAACTGAAATGTTGAACTTGTAACTTATTTCTTTTGTTTTTCACTTTATACCTAAGAGTTTTTTTACCTCGGTACCTTTGTACCTAAGATGGGTCTGGGAATGGCGACATTGTACACTTCTCACAATACTCTTGTATCCCTGTACTTGAGTACATGTGACAATAAAACCTAATTCTAAATTCTAATTCTGAACTGGCAAAGATTAATTTAAGATCAACGTTAGGCAGCATTTAAAAAATAACTCAGAATAGGACAAGCGTGGTATTTAGTACCCATTCCCCATCACTCTGAGGTGGTGGTAATGGGCCTTCTTGAATCATTGTGTTCGTTGTAAAGTTTGATGCAACTGAATGTCAAGGATATCAGTAAAGTGAGTAAGTGGCTAGTGCTGAAGTCACATGTAGGCCTGACCAGATTTCCTTAAAGCACAGAAACCTTTCTGTCTTTATAACCAATCTAACAGGTTTCATAGAAAGAGTTACTGGGTCCACTCTTGGTTTCCAAGTTTGCTACAGAAAAATGTCCAAATTCAATATCACAAGTCACAATAACCTATGGCTGTGGGTTCTCAGCTCCAGAACATAATCATCACCTTCTATACTTGTTCGCACAAGCAGGGAGATGAGGAGAAGTGAAGTCTAGAATCAATAAAAGCTGGATGAAGTGATGGTCTGGTAGGTTTCCATGGAAGAACAGAGTCAATGGGCCAAGTGACCTTTCCCATTTCTACATTTGAAGACTTGAATTTTGGAAAATCACAGTGACTACATTAACATGGCAACAGAAACCTATTTTCTAAATGTTGAAACTATGAAGGGTGAAACTTGTCCCAGAAGCAAAATAGATGCCAGTGAATCAGGTTTATATATGGCCCAGTTTCATTTTCTATCAATTTTAAAAGCAATGTAATTGACTGGCATCTGGAAAAGACTTGTTCATATCCTAGGTCAGAAATCCTTCGACAGTCATCATCAGAGGCGTTTCTGAAACATGAATAGACCATCATTTTTCAGGTGCTTGATGAAATTTCTAGGCTGTTTCTTTTCATAATGAGGGAGATTATTTCAAAAGGGCATCTAGAAAGTGGAACTGGGGGATAGATATTTTTAAATAGTTACATTTAGAAGAGATTTCTGGGAAATAAAACTCCTCTGAAAAATAAAAAGCTAATTGGAAAGTTGGTCTCTCTCTCTCAAAGGGGTTGGAATACAAATGTCATGTTACAGTAATATAAAGTCTTCATTATGTTCAGTGTGGTCATGACGTGTCAGCAAAGATATATTGACTCTGAAGGCTATTCAATGCAGTTTCACTGGATTGATATGAGGGATTAATAGATTAAATTATGAGGGTACGCATTTCTTGCTTGACATAATTAAGGTGCAGTTTCTGAGGTGCACCTACATTAAACCATGTCAGACCTGCTCGCACATTGTTAATTCAATGTAAAAATACATTTTTGTTCTATCATCACTGATAGACCAATTTGCTAAGGTGAGTCACTCATTACAGTTGCATCCAGGTCTAATCTTTTGTTACTTCACAGCTTGACTCTCACTTGAAACAAATGTGTCAAAAATAGTATCATAGAACCAAGCCAAAGGCAATATTACAAAGTCAGCATGAGTGTTAAAGCTTATGGGTGTGGCTTCATGCTTGGTTATGATTGTTTTATTAGAGAGACACAGGTTGCACCAGTTCTCTTCTGGTCAGCCCTCCATGTGTCGATCATTGCTTATCTAGAGCACTGCAGCCTGCCCATCGTTGATTCTCATTCAGCCCAATATTCACGGACTTAGACTCCAGCAATAGATCAACATTAAATTCATATCCTAGTGTTCAAATCCCTCCATGACCTCTTCCTTACTGACCTCTCCAACCACCTGAAGACCACTAAAGTTCTGTTTTCCTCTTTTTCTGGCCTCTCGTGCCTCACAGGGCTTCACCATTGGCAGCCGTGCCCTCGGTGGTATCAGACTTTCTTAAAACACTCCGCCCCTCACTCATCCTTTAAGAGGCTCCTTAAAACAGATGTTGTGAAACTTGAAAGACTTCAGAAAAGATTTTAAAGGATGTTACCAGGGTTGGAGGGTTTGAGCTATAGGGACAGGTTGAATAGGCTGGGGTTATGTTCCCCTGGAGCATTATGGCTGATCTGTATCTCAACCTCATTTAATGAAAACAGAATGTGCTGGAGGAACTCAACTAATCTGGTGGCATCTGTGGAGAGAGAAACAGAGTTCGGGTTTTGGGTCCAGAGTGGCACTTCCTCAGAACTGAAGGGAGTTGGAAAAGTGTCAGAGTGACATAGTGGAAAGAATGGGGAGAAGTAGCAAGTGGAACAGTGGGTGAGGGTGCTCAGATCAAAAGGCAAAGTGGTTGCTAACAGTAATAGAGGAGGAGAGATATAAATGAGAAATGGGGGTATTACTGGTAAGCATTATTTGCAGAGAACAGGTCAGCTCTACGGAGATTTCTGCAGAGAACTACTCCTCCCACAAATCCATTGTCAATTGTTGGAAAAAATCCATCTGGCTCACCAATATCCATTAGGGAAGGAAACTGCTGTCCTTACCTGGTCTGGCTTACATGTGACTGAAGACCCACAGCAATGTGGTTGATTCTTAAATGCCCGCTGGGCAATAAATGATGGCTTAGCCAGTGACACCCTCATCTGTGAATGAATTTTTAGAAAAGTCATACTATCCATGGCTTGTCTGGAGAAAAGAATATTCCATATTTCCACTATCTTGCAGGGGAAGTAAGTGCTGCTTGATTGTTTGGTGAAGAGCATTCTGATAGCAATCAAACACACTCCAATTCCCCCAACTTCGATGCAACTCACTCCCTAGCAGATGTTGCCGGTTTCTTACACTACTTTTCCATTTCCCAAAATGTACTTACTCCAATATCCCATAGTGTTGAACCAACTTGTTGACAGCATCCTTGAATATGTAGTATCTCCCCATCACTTCCTCATGATTCACGGACTTCAGCAGTGGAGTATCCACAAAGGCCGGACAAATTGTGTTGATCCGAACTCCATAGTTCAAAAGCTTCGAGGTTGCCTGGAAGAAAGCCGCATGAGAGTTACTGTTTATGTGATTGTGTGATTCCACTCATGGAATGTTGCTGTTGCTGACTGGGTCCACACTTACTGCCCATCTCCAGTTGCTCCAGAGAAGGTGGTGGAGAGCTGCCTAATGCTTCAGGGAACAACAGCAAAAAGTGGCTGGGCACCTAGCGAGGGTCCCTGGGAATCCCAGGGACAAGTGATGACAGGACCTGAACCCATCCTTCAGAAATTTCATATCCTCCTTCACCCAGTCTAAGTTGCTGAGTCAGTCTCGTTTGGAGATTCTTTCTTTCTGCCGTCACTAGGCCCAACCAGGGAGTGATCCTGGTTCACAGCAATCAACAGAGCAGTATCACAGCCCTAGCTCCTCAGGGCAATGTCTTTGGACAAACCATTTTCATCAACGTCCTTCCCTGATCAACAGTGAGGCTACTTACTACATTAATAGCCCAGGCCATGAAGCAGCACAAAGATCCACACTTATTTTGAAAACATTAAGACTTAACATATTCAGTGAGTTGGGGGATTGCAGAATGAGATAGTGAGTTCGGCACTGGCCATCCTCTGGGGTCAAGGTTCAAATGCGATCCAGTAGACAGAAAGGAAATTCTCTCTGCTAAAAACCCTGTGTGAAATAGGTTCTGTGGTCTTAATCCAAGTCTTGAAGGGGAAAGGTCTCGACTTCAACATGATGCTCCTCAAGACAACAGGACAAGTAATGTGAAGAATGGAAAGAAAAATGGCATGATATACACACAGAGAATGCTGGAGAAATTCAGCAGGACTAGCAGTATCAGAGGACAGAGAAACAGAGTTTCGAGTCAGAACATAAGAACTAGGAGCAGGAGTAGGCCATCTGGCCCCTTGAGCCTGCCCCGCCATTTAATAAGATCATGGCTGATCTTTTTGAGACTCAGCTCCACTTACCTGCCCGCACACCATAACCCTTAATTCCTTTACTGTTCAAAAATTTATCTAGCCTTGCCTTAAACACATTCAGCGAGGTAGCTTCAACCGCTTAACTGGGCAGGGAATTCCACAGATTCACAACACTTTGGGTGAAGAAGTTCCTCCTGACCTCAGTCCTACATCTGCTCCCCTTTATTTTGAGGCTATGCCCCCTAGTCCTAGTTTCACCTGCTAGTGGAAACAACCTCCCTGCCTCCACCTTATCTAAGCCCTTCATTATCTTATATGTTTCTATAAGATCTCCCCTCATTCTTCTGAATTCCAATGAGTATAATCCCAGCCTACTCAGTCTCTCCTCATAATCCATCCCTCTCAACTCTGGAAACAACCGAGTGAATCTCCTCTGCACCCCCTCCAGTGCTAGTATATCCCTTCTCAAGTAAGGAGACCAAAACTGCACACAGAACTCCAGGTGTGGCCTCACCAGGACCCTATACAGCTGCAACACAGCCTCCCTGTTTTTAAACTCCATCCCTTGAGCAATGGCAGACAAAATTCCATTTGCCTTTTTCATTACCTGCTGTACCTGCAATCCTACTTCTAGCGATTCATGCACAAGGACACCCAAGTCCCTCTGCACAGCAGCGTGCTGCAATTTTTTACCATTTAAAACATAGTCCATTTTGCTGTCATTCCTACCAAAATGGATGACCTCACACTTATCAACATTGCACTCCATCTGCCAGACCTTTGCCCATTCACTTAGACTATCTATATCCCTCTGCAGACTTTCAGTGTCTTCTGCACACTTTGCCCTACCACTCACCTTAATGTCATCTGCAAATTTTGACACACCACACTTAGTCCCCAACTCCAAATCACCTATGTAAATTGTAAACAATTGAGGTCCCAACACCGATCCCTGAGGCACACCACTAGCCACTGACCGCCAACCAGAAAAACACCCATTTACCCCTACCCTTTGCTTTCTACTGGTCAACCAATCTTCTATCCATGCCAATACATTACCTGTAATACCCTGCAACCTTATCTTATGTAGCAGTCTTTGGTGTGGCACCTTGTCAAATGCCTTCCGGAAATCCAGATACACCACATCCACAGATTCCCCAAAGTCCACCATGCAAGTAATGTCCTCAAAGAATTCCACCAAATTAGTTAGACATGACCTACCCTTCATGAACCCATGCTGGGTGTTCCCAATGGGAGAATTTATATCCAGATGTCTTTCTATTTCTTCCTTAATGATAGATTCAAGCATTTTCCCCACTACCGAAGTTAAGCTAACTGGTCTATAGTTACCTGCTTTTTGTCTACTTCCGTTTACAAACATTGGCGTCACATTGGCTGTTTTCCAATCTGCGGGAACCACCCCAGAGTCCAGTGAATTTTGGTAAATAATTACTAGTGCATTTGCTATTTCCCCCATCACCTCTTTTAGTACCCTGGGATGCATTTCATCAGGGCCAGGAGACTTGTCTACCTTTAGCCCCTTTAGCTTGCCCAGCACTGCCTCCTTAGTGATAATGATAGTTTCTAGGTCCTCACCTGCTATAACCTTCTTGCCATTAGTTTTCAGCATGTTATTTGTGTCTTCCACTGTGAAGACCGACACAAAATAACTGTTTAATGTCTCGGCTATTTCCTCATTCCCAGTTATTAAATTGGCCTTCTCATCCTCGAAAGGACCAATGTTTACCTTCACCACACTTTTACGATTTCCATATTTATAGAAACTTTTGCTGCCTGTTTTTATATTTTGAGCTAGTTTACTCTCATAATCTATCTTACTTATCTTTATAACATTTTTGTGGCTTTCTGTTGGCCTTTAAAGATTTCCCAGTCTACTAGTTTCCCACTAATCTTTGCTTTTTTGTATGTGTTTTTTTTTAATCTGATACTTTCCTTTATTTCCTTAGACATCCATGGCTGACTATCTCTTTTCCTACAGTTCTTCTTTATCACTGGAATATACTTCTGCTGAGCACTGTGAAAAATCGTTTTGAAAGTCCTCCACTGTTCCTCAATTGACCCACCATAAAGTTTTTGCTCCCATTCTACCTTACCTAACTCCTCCCTCATCCCATCATAGTCTCCTTTGTTTAAGCGCAGGACATAGGTACTGGATTTAACCTTCTCACGCTCCATCTGTATTTTAAATTCGACCATACTGCGATCGCTCCTTCCGAGAGGATCCCTAACTGTGAGATCAGTAATTATTCCTGTCTCATTGCACAGGACTAGATCTAGGATAGCTTGCTCCCTCATAGGTTCCATTACATATTGTTCAAGGAAATTATCGCGGATGCATTCTATGAACCTCTCCTCAAGGCTGCCATGACTGACCTGGTTTGACCAATCGATATGTAGATTAAAATCCCCCATGATAATTGCTGTACCATTTTTACATTCATTAGCTATTTCTATGTTTATTGCCCGCCCCACCACGATGCCATTATTTGGTGGCCTATAGACCACACCTATCAGTGACTTCTTCTCCATGCTATTCCTAGTTTCCACCCAAATGGATTCAACCTTTTGTTCAGTAGAACCTATATCGTCTCTCACTACCGCCCTGATATCATCCTTAAAAATCAGAGCGACACCACCTCCCTTACCTTCCTGTCTGTCCTTCCGAACAGTTTGATACCCCTGGATATTTAACTCCCAGTCATGACCATCCTGCAACCATGTCTCTGTGATGGCCACTAAATCATACTCATTTGCCATGATTTGCACCATCAACTCATCCACCTTGTTCCGTATGCTCTGAGCATTCAGATAAAGTGCCCTTATGCCAGTTTTTGCACCTTCTTTTTGGGTCCTATCACCTCCATTACTACAGCTCTTGAGTCCTCCTTCCCTTTAACCTTTTTCCTAATTTTCAATGGAGTTGAAGCTTCCTCGTCACCTGCTAACCTGCTGCTTTGCCTTCCATTAATTGTTATTCTCCCTGTACGCTCACTCCTCCCTTCCCCCCTACTTACTAGTTTAAAGTCCTATTGACCACCCTATTTACCCTTTTCGCCAGAACACTGGACCCTGCCCTGTTCAGGTGGAGTCCATCCCAGCGGTATAGATCCCTCCTGTCCCAGAACTGATGCCAGTGCCCCATGAGAAGGAAACCCTCTTTCCCACACCACTCTTTTAGCAACGCATCTACTTCCCTGATCCTCGCCTCCCTGTGCCAATTTGCACATGGTTCGGACAGCAATCCAGAGTTTATGACCCTTGAAGGCCTGTTTTTTAATTTTGTTCCTAGCTTTTCATAATCCCGAAACAGGCCTTTTTTCCTAGTCCTGCCTATGTTGTTGGTACCTACGTGGGCCACAACAACTGGATCCTCCCCCTCCCTCTCTAGTATCCTCTCATGCCGGTCAGAGATGTTTCGCACCCTGGCACCGGGCAAGCAACACACCATGTGGGATTCTCTATCCTGCTCGCAAAGGATACTGTCTATCCCCCTGATGATGGAATCCCCTACAACTACAATCTGTGTTTTTGCTTCCCCCTCTTGAATGGCCTCCTGGACCATGGTGCCATGGTCAGTTGACTCATCCTTCCTGCAGCCCTGTTCCTCATCCTCGCAGGGAGCAAGTGCCTCATACCTGTGGGACAATGTCAAGGGCTGCGGCTCCTGTGTTCCTGTCTGCAGGGTTCCTTTACCTGCCTCACTCACAGTCACACACTGCTGTTCCTGCCCGACGATCGAATTAACATTAGTTAATCTACCAGGTGCGACTGCCTCCTGGAAGACAGCATCCAGGTATCTCTCCCTCTCCCGGATATGCCGCAGTGTTTGGTGTTTGGATTCCAGCTCATCAATTTTGAGCCGGAGCTCCTCAAGCAGCCAACACTTGCTGCAGATGTGATCACTGCCGTTCTCAATGGGATCAGCTAGCTCCCACATCATACAGCTACAACACATCACCTGGCCTGCCATCTCTACTTAGTTAATTATTTAAAATTAATTAGTTTTGTTTTTAGTTTCGCAGTGTTCTCTCTTTAAGTGTTCTCTGCATCACTAAGTTTACTCCATTATATACTCAAACAGACTCCAGCTTTGCCTTCAAACCGCTCCCAGAGGATTAGGCGTCTAGGCGACCTCCCCGAAAGATAACAAAGTGATGAGAAAAAAATGCAAATAGCTTACCTGCTCACCACACTTAGTCTTTATTATTAGGTTAGAGGAGGTGGAAGGGTGGGAGACGCTACACGTGTAGTGTCTTGAGTATTAGTTACTTCCCAAATTTATTGGGTGAAAGATAACCGTTACCCAGCCGACCACTCGTGCCCACTCTGGGACTCCTCCTCCGCTGAACAACTGAAGGCCGCAGTCACGCGAGCTAAGACTTTTATAACGGAAGGTATGACTCTTCTTCAGAATGGGAGTCATACTGGACACATTAACATTAAATTCAGGAGGTCTGGCAGTGCCCATGGACAGAGAAACAGAGTTATGTGTCTGGTATTATTCCCATTCTGAGGAACAGTCATACCAGTCTTGAAACATTAACTTTGTTTTGCTCTCCACAGATGTCACAAGATCTGTTCAGTCTCTCCAGTATTCTGTGTGTTTGTTCTAAATTTCCAGGAACCGCAGTATTCTGTTTTTAAATGCTAAATGACACCTGGATGGCTCATCTGGGCTAAATGCTATTGATAAGAATGAAAACAGTTTTGTTCTCCTTACTTGAGAAAGGATGTACCGGCACTGGATGGGGTGCAGAGGAGGTTCACTAGGTTGATTCTGGAGTTGAGAGTGTTGGCTTTTGAAGAGAGATTGAGTAGACTGGGACTATATTCATTGAAATTTACAAGAATGAGGTGGGATTTTATAGAAACTTGTAAAATTATGAAGGGATTTTTTTTTATTCAGTCAAGGGATGTGGGCGCCTCTGGCTCGGCCAGCATTTATTGCCCATCCCTAATTGCCCAGAGGGAAGATAAGAGTGAAGCACATTGCTGTGGGTCTCGAGTCACACATCGGCCAGACCAGGTAAGGATGACAGCTTTCCATCCCTAAAGGACATAAGTGACCCAGATGGGTTAAATAGAAGCAGAGAGATTGTTTCCACTGGCAAGTGAAACTGGAACTAGGGGGCACAGCCTCCAAATAAGGGGGAACAGATTTAGGCCTGACTTGAGGAGGAACTTCTTCACCCAAAGGGTTGTGAATCTGTGGAATTCCTTGCCCACTGAAGCAGTTGAGGCTACCTCATTGAATGTTTTTAAGGCAAAGATAGATAGATTTTTGAACAGTAATGAGTCCACAGAAAGATCAGCCATGATCTTATTGAATGGTGGAGCAGACTTAATGGGCCAGATGGCCTACTCCTGCTCCTATTTCTTATGTTCTTATTACGTTTCACATAGAGGCCTTTGTCAAGCAATTGATTGGATTGTTGTATTCTGCAGCACCAAAACACAGAATGCACAAAGAAATTTACAACACTGGATCCACCTGATTTTTAGTGTCATATGAACAGTGAAGACACAGAAAGGATAACAATGGCAAAGGGAGAAAATCATGACTAAGGAGTACTCACTGCTATAGCCCTGGTGAATCCAACTACACCATGCTTTGTGGCTGTGTACACTGGTCCGTGGGCAGCTGGGAATATACCTAAATGGAAATAGGGAAGAAAGCAGATTTACATTTAACAACAACAACTTGGATTTATATTGCATCTTTTTTGGAGAAAGATGTATCACGGTGCTTCACAGGTGCTTCAGGGAGGCAAAAGCCCAGTGGTATTATTGCTGGACTGCTAATCCAGAAACCAGGAAATGTTCTGGGGACCTGGGTTCAAATTCCACTACAGTGGAATCTGAATTCAACACAAAATCTGGAATTAAGAGGCTAATGATGACCACGAATCCAATATCAATTGTCGGGAATAACCCATCTGACTCACTACTGTCCTTTGGAGAAGGAAATCTGCCATCCTCACCTGGTCTGGCATACAAGTGACTCCAGATCCACAGTAATGTGGTTAACCTTATACATGCCCTCAGGGCAATGAGGAATAGGCAATAAATGATGGCCTGGCTTGTGACACCCACATCCCATGAATGAATTTTTGAAAAATTACCAAACACAATTCAACTTCAAGCGTCATAAGGAGACATTGGGACCAAAAGTGGTTGGTTTTGATGAGTCTCCTAAAGGAGGAAGAGGAGTGGAGAGACGGTGAGGTTTGGAGGAGGAATTGCAGGGTCAAGGGCCTAGACAGCTGAAAGCATGTCATAGTGGATCAATGAAAATCTGGGATAAAGGCCATGATTAGAGAAACACTGATATTTCCAAGCTGTAGAGCTGAAGGAAGTCAGATAGAGGGAAAGTGAGACCTTGGAAGGATTTCAAAACCAGAAGTGTGAACATCAAATACAACCTACACAATTCTGGCACCATTCAAAATATAATTCCATTCCTGTGTGTGCATGTGCTATCTTGCACCTGTACACACCTTCTCTGTTATAAATTGGAGCTGTTTTAATTGGTGCAGTGGGGATTTGATCGAAATGCTTAAGGTTATGAAGGAATGGGCCAAGGTCTATAACGTAGTGACAGTGATATAACATTAAACGTCAAGGATTCAAGACTGCGAGAAACAAACTTGTTCAGAAAGATGAAGAAAGTTGCCTGGAGGCAACAAAAGCAGAAATTGCTGGAAAAGCTCAGCATGTCTGGCAGCATCTGTGGAGAGAAATCAGAGTTAATGTTTTGGGTCAAGTGATCCTTCCTCAGAAGTTACTGGAAGGACAAGTTAGCGAATGGTTTAAGAATTGTGAAATGAAGTGATACAGTGGTCTAGGTCCGAAACATCAGCTTTCCTGCTCCTCTGATGCTGCTTGGCCTGCTGTGTTCATCCAGCTCTACACCTTGTTATCTCAGATTCTCCAGCATCTGCAGTTCCTACTATCTCTGATACAGTCACAAGTTGGCCACAATGGATCAGTGTTGCTCTTTTGAGGGATAAAAAGACTAGTTGGGCCAAATGGCTTATTTTCAAGTTGGCATCTCGATGTTATTCAATGAAGAATTCCCACATGTGCCATAAGTAATGAAAACTGTAAAAGTAATGTTTAGTGCACAACACCACCAGAAGTCAGAGCGCAGAAGTACAGAGTCACAATTTCACTCAAGTTATTCCCATTATGAATGTGCAGAGGAGCATAAGAAATAGGACCAGGAGTAGGCTTTTCAGCTCTTTAAGTCCGCTCAGTTTTCAATATGGTCACAGAGGATCTTAGAGTCATAGAATCATATAGTCATACATCACAGAAACGGACCCTTCAGTTCAACCAGTCCATGCCGACCGTAATCCCAAACTAAACTAGTCGCACCTGCCTGCACTTGGTCCATATCCTTCCAAATATTTCTTATTCATGTGCTTGTCCAAACGTCTTTTAAACATTGTAACTGTACCGGCATCCACCACTTCCTCTGGCAGTTCATTCAACTGTCTGTGAAAACTGTTGCCCCTCATGTCTTTTTCTAAATCTTTCTCCTCTCACCTTAAAAATATGCCCACTATTCTTGAAATCCCCAACCCTAGGGAAAAGCACTTGCCATTCACCTTATTGATACCCCTCATGATTTTATAAACCTCTGTAAGGTCACCCCTCAACTTCCTACACTCCAATGGGAAAAGGTCCCAGCCTATCCGACCTCTCCTTAAAACTCAAACCCTCCATTCCAGCAACATCCTGGTAAATATTTTCTGAACTCTCTCTAGCTTAATAATATCCTTCCTATAGAAGTGTGACCAGAACTGGACACAGTACTCTAGAGGAGGCCTCACCAAATCCTGTACGACTCCAACATGACATCCCAACTCTTATACTCAAAGGTCTGAGCAATGAAGGCAAGTGTGCTAAACACCTTCTTATAACCACCCTTCAACTTTGACTTCAACTCCATTTTCCGGCATCATCCCCATATCCCTTGGCTTTCTCTCTTTTTGTCAGTCTATTGTCTAGTGGGATGAGAGTTTGCACTGTGGTGATGAACTGTGTTAGGCATAGTTTAGGGTGCCTCAGGAATCCCACTCTGGCCTGGTAGACTCAGCCTCACTTGCCATAGAGCAGGGCAGTGAGCTGTGAAGGAGCAGGATTTTTGCAGATCTCTTTAGTCTCAGTCAGTTGAATAATCAATGTCTATGAGACCATAAGACACAACAGCAGAAGACATTCAGCCCATCTAGTCTGCTACACTATTCAAGGACATCATGGCTAATTTGATAATCCTCAGCCCCACTTTCCTGCTTTTCCTTATAGCTCTTGATTCCCTAAATAATTGGAAATCTGTGTTGAATGTACTTAATGATCCAGCCACAACAGCCATCTGTGGTGAAGAATTCCAGAGTCATTAGCCTTTGAGAAGAAATTCCTCCTCATCTTTGTCTTAAATAGGTGGCTATTTACCACGAGATTTCTGGTCCTAGACTCACGCACAAGGAAAAAATACCTCCCACATCTGTCAAATTCCCATGAATTTTGTATGTTGCAATTAGGTTGCCTTTCATTCTTCTAAATTCTCAATCACACTCAACCTCTCCTCATAAGACCAATCTCTCCATACTTGGATCAAATTCATAGAATCCCTACAGTGTGGAAACAGGCCATTCAGCCCAACAAGTCCACACCGCCCCTTCAAAGAGCATCCCACCCAGACCCATTCCCCTGCATTTCCCATGTCTAACCTAAACATCCCTGGACACTATGGGCAATCCACCTACCTGCGCATCTTTGGACTGTGTGAGGAAACCAGAGCAACCAGAGGAAACCCACACAGACACGGAAAGAATGTGCAACCTCCACACAGAGAGTCACCCAAGGATGGAATTGAAGCCCAGTCCCTGGCACTGTGAGGCAGCAGTGCTAACCACTGAGCCACCGTGCTCAGAAATTGTTGAACTTCTTCTAATGTTACGAAGTTGTATAGAATACTCATGAATTGAAAAACAGTGCATGGTCCCTTTAAGATATTGTGCTTTGTTTGTGCTCGGAAGTTTGCAAGCATTGTACAGAGAGTGCCTGAATGGAAACATTCTGTATCGAACAGCCAAGCAGCATTTTTACCAAGCCAACAAATCTTTTCAAATTTAGCAAATGAATTTAAACCAAGCCCTTAGATACTAACAACATATTAAATTTAAATCTGATGGTGTTGAACCAATCCTACGTAAGAAATATTGTTATGTAATCATGGGCATAAAGAGGAGGGCATTTGGAAAATCAGAGAGAGCCAATTGCCAACTGCCAAGAGACAACACCTTTTAGCTGTCAGAGAAAGCATTTCTAGCTAAAAGTCCTCACAGGAGCAATTACAGAGAAAAACATCTCTGACAGCAGAATCAGTGGAAGAAAGACATTTATGATGTGAGATTGACAGGAGAAAGGCTGGAGAAGGCAGAGTGTTTCGGAAGACAGTCTGTGCGAACTTGGAGAGACTAAGTTTTAACTTATCATTGACTTATTTATTGGGTTTATATAAGTAGGACTTGTGTTTATTTGAATAACATTCAGGTGCAATTTAGACCAGTTAGGGAGTAGTTAGTACTTAGGTGGGAATTGTTCGGTTTGTGAGTAATTCTGTAGAATTGTTCATTGTTAGAGTTAAATAAATAAATGAATTGTTTCTTGTTATTTACAAAGGAGATCAGGAATTTTCTTTCTTTTAACCAATCTTTTAACAGGTTACAAGGGGCAAGGTGAGCTTCTCTGGGTGTTTCAGGGGTAATTATTAGAAGGGAACTTCTACTCCCATCAGAACAGATAGGGGCTTGTGTTTTCATTTAAATATCAGAGGAGTTCAGCATTCCCCCTCCATAACACTAGACTGCTTCCAGTGCTCGGTGTCTTTCATTGAATAAGGGATCCAAAACTATGCACAGTATTCCAACTGTGATCTGACTAATGCATCACATTGTTTTAGTAAGACCTCCTTACTTCTATACCCCATTTCGTCTGAAATGAACGCCATTTGCCTTCACTATGACCTGCTTGACTTGGATGATAGTTTTTTGTGATTTATGCACATGGACTTCCAAATCCCTCCTTGCTACAGCTTTCCCCAGTCCTCCCCCATTTATATAATGTTCAGCTTCTTGATTCTCCCTGCTAATGTACATAATCTTTTACTTCCACATCCAATGCAATGTCCTAACAGATAGCTTCTAGGCTATCAGCAACTGTCACCCACTTGTAAGTGTCCACCAACTCTCGATCCAGTTTGTTGGAGTCATTGCAATGGGGAATGGACACCCAGGAGGTCATGAGTCAGTAGATCTCTTGGATAGATATTTAGATACAATCTCTATGTTGATCATATTCAATCGTTGAACACCCATAGCACTCTGGGCTAGAGAATTCCAAATATCCATAACACTGTGAATGAAGACATTTCTTCTGGTTTTAGTCCTCAATGACCAACCCCTACCAATCAAAACATTTCTCCAGGTGCACACATGTCGAACTCTTAAGAATTTTACACAGTTCGATGGGATCACTTCTCAAACTTCTCCACTTTCTAGAGAATTTAGAGGCAGACAACTGGATTTGTAAAAGTGAACAGAATTTCTATCAGAGGCATTCAATGGGTACCTGGAAACAAGGGAG